AGGGGGGGGGCACCCTCCATCGCCGCTTGCCTTGCGTGCTGCGGCCGGATCGTCCTCTTGGCCCGCCGGCTCTGTGTCTCCTCTGCATTCCCTTTGGCCTGGACAGAGTAGCTAAATGGCCTCTTTCGAACTTCGCTGCGCCGTCCAGCCCCTCCTCCGCCCTTTGTCCGGTGGCTGGCCCTGGTCTCTGCAGGCGTGCTTCGCCTGGCCAAGTCAGGCAGCGCAAGGCGCTCTGCAAGCCCGAGTTGCTACTTGTTGCATTTCTGCAGAAAACTGTTTCTCCGGGTGCTCGTCGGGGGATGGGAGGAGGGAACAAGACCTGGAGCTTTTTGTTTGCAGCCGAGGCCGGCGAGCTGGCTTCGCTGGCGCGGATCCTCGGCCCCCGCAGCCTCGCTTTCTGTCCCAGAGCCGGAACGCGGCCCGGGTAGAACAGCCTGGGGGACGCGCGGGTTGAATCCGGAAAGGACCCAAGTCTGCGAGTAGCGAGCAAACCAGGCGGAAATTCGTTCTTCCCACACTCTGCCCCCCGGGGACGCAGGCGGAGAAAGAGGAGACGGTGGAGGGAGGACAGACCCCGGCAGGGGGAGGAGGAAACGCTAAGTGGCTCCGCGTCTGGTCAGCCCGAGCCCGGGACGCCAAGTGAGAAAAGTAGGGATTAAAAACAGCTGTACAGGTCGGGCTCGCAGGGCTGGGGGCGGGGGTGGATTACCGGGCCAGCAAACGGGATTTGCAGACAGAGATCTTTTTATTTTAGCTGAGTCCACCAGTCGCTTCTGAGCAGTGGGAGCGCGCCTCTTAAACGTTTCGAGTGCCCTGCTCTTCAGGTGCCTCCCTGCGGGAAGTGTGGGCAGCACCGCGTCCGCCAGCATTCCGCAGAATGCATGGGGAACATAAGGTTGCTTGCAGAAAACTGACAGTGAGCTCCGTCGGAAGAGGCTACTTCAACACCTCCTGTGTCCGGCGGGCGTGTTTGAGTTGTGACGTGCTAGCACTAGTGGTGAAGAGAGGCACCGCCCCCTGGTAGGTTTGTAAACTCTTGACTTGATCCCTCTGTTGACAAGAGCACGGAGAAGGCTCAGAACTGGTTCTGCCACTGTGAGACTGTCTCCGTCAGATTTTGATGAATCAGCCTCATTAATACTTCATTTTTTCAAGCCCTTGGGGTAGGATCCTATGCGTAGGTATAATAACCCTCACAGACCCTAAGGTAACTGCCACCTGCAAGGCCCTCCCACTTTATGCCCAGACATGCCCAATGAGCTTCAAAGTCTTTCAGTCCCCAAAGTGCTCAAGTTTGTCTTAGTTGGGGAAGTATTATCACTGATTATCAATAGGGAATGAAGCATTTTATCAAGGGCTTCTTTGGGGTTCAACCCCAGCAGAGAAAGAACTGGCAAGGGATAGCTGTTAATTATTATTTATTTATACAAACCATCTGAAACCAATAGTCCCTTCCCTCCCCTGCCCACGTGTTCAGAAAATCATTTTTCAGAGCCTACTCTGCAACAGAACGGAAAATTAAAGGAAAGAGCCGGG